TCTAGTCTTTTCTACGCGCCCTCTACTCTTGTATATAAGAGCGCCAGACAATGGATCGGCACGAGAATAATTGCAGATTGAAGAGATAGAGACAGATAATCGAGTCAAGTCGTAAGTAATGTGCGTGAATCGTTGTGAATTATAGCGTGTGTTTAAGTTAAAGTGACTGTGGAAATTCTGTGTATTGCAAAGTTGTATTGAGAAAGAATAAACTAGTTTTATTTAAGAAAGGACTTGTATCGCTGAAGTTCTTTGGGAAGAAATTTTACGGGCAATTAACAAACGAACAGAGACGTAACAATATAAACTTCAACACTGTAAAGTAGATCTGTCCCTCATACATTTTCTGTTGTAGATAGACGCATGATAACATTTGGAACTGGTACTTATACGTTTTATGTTATATGTTTATGCAATAAAAGATATAAAAAAGCCACAGTGTTTAACAACTCCATTGCTTTCAAGAAACACAAATTTTTAGAAACTCACTAAAGTTTTCTTTCTGTAGAATATTGCAACTAAAAACTTATATTTAATGTAATTGATAAGAACATTCTTACCGATCTGTGGGGTGAGACCTTTTGTCGACAGCACTAGTCTACAGTAAAAACGTATATTTAATGTAATTGATAAAAGGCCTCACGCCACAGATCGGTGAGAATGTTCATGGTGGACAGCACCAGTCTACAATAAAAACTTATATTTAATGTAATTGATATGAACATTCTTACCGATCTGTGGCGTGAGGCCTTTTGTCGACAGCACCAGTCTACAGTTTTAATAAACTTCTGGGGGTATGAAGCATACTTTTTTAGAAGCGTGTAACACTGAAAATATACAATTACTATTATTCCTAAGATATACACAGCAGTTCCAAATGATGACTGTTTTTATTATTATTTCATTATTATTCTTTCGCAGTTAAAAACGAGGTTACAAATACTTTATCGTTCTCCTTTCTTATTTAACAACAAACAAAAAATATCGTAATAATACACGCACAAAATTATAATCACAATACAATAAAAAATATTAATTACTTCAGCGCTATCAGAAGGTAAACCTTCCTTCTTAAGAGGCGAGTAGGTTTTTATATTATTCAATAACAAGTTATTTTCTAATGTACCTTATAGTTTTTTTTATCTCAAAATTACTCCTAAAATACCACATGTTGGTAAATGTTACATGGGTTTTACTTTTAGTTCACTATATATTTATAGAATATTTTTTAATATTCTAGTTTCTTCAAAACTTCCCAGCGCTTAACAATATAAGCTCTCTTTTCTTGGAGTATATGTATTATAATATTATTCGTAGTAAATAATAATATATCAAAAAGGAAACAAAAAAGAAGGTCTGAGAATAAAGTACTGAACCAAGGTGGCTAAAGATAACAGGAAGAAAGTTTGAATACAGAAACTTAGTCGTAGGGCGACTGGAGATAACAAAAAGGTGCCTGAAGGTTACATGAAGAAGTTTTGAATACAGGAACTTAGTCCTAGAGCGACTGGAGATAACAAGAAGGTGCCTGAAGGTTACATGAAGAAGGTTTGAATACAGGAACTTAGTCCTAGAGCGACTGGAGATAACAAGAAGGTGCCTGAAGGTTACATGAAGAAGGTTTGAATACAGAAACTTAGTTCTAGGGTGACTGGAGATAACAAGAAGGTGGCTGCAGGTAACACGAATAAAGTCTGAATAAATTAAAAGTACGGTTTCTATTCTCGGGCGGATTCTTTTGGATTATTCTGTAAAAAAAATAATATACAAAGGTCTGGTCCATTTAATGATAACAAGAGCACTTTTACTGTAAGTCCTACAAGTTCCTTATAACTAACGACAGATCTAACGTCACAAATAACGTCTTTAACTCTCATGTAACTCGTGTTTTTAGAATGTTACAATTGTTCTCCAAACTCTCAAGAAAATATTAGATGCCAGTAAGATGCTCATTACATCACATTAAATAAATAATAGTGTACTGATCTTGAATTTCCATAATTAACAAGGAATCATTCTTGAATTTCCATAATTAACAATAAAATGATTCCTTACAATCAACAACATTAATATTCATAAATATAGTTATTACAATCATTAATTAAATGTCTTGAAAGGTAAATCTTCTTTATCCAGCTGCTTTCTTAAACTGTCCAATCTCCAAATTATTTTCATTCTTTTATTCACCCTGGTTTATGAAACAAAAACGAGATGATCTCTTCTCCTATATCAACACTTACTGTATTATCACTAGGAGAGCTCTCTTCATAGAAATTATCAAAGGAAGCTTCTTGTAGCTTCATCACTGCTGAGTAATGACTCTCAGGATGCGAGCACAGAAAATCCAATGACACTTTGAATTCTTTCCCAAACACCAGTAATATTGTTGATTGTTGCACACACTTTTATATATCCCTGTTCGATAACTCGTGAGTAGGAGTAGAGGATTTTCATCCCACATTTGTATAATGTTCATCCACATAAATGACTAGTTTATTTGAAAATGTACATTTGTATCTCTCCAGCATTCCTTCAATAGAAGGATGGAGTGCTTTGATTCTGGCTTTTTAGATTCAAAATGTTTGACACATTTCTCCAAACAAGACTTATTCATTGTTTTGGTCCTGGTTTGAAAAAGTTCCATAGGTACTCCAAATCTTGAAACTTGACTTAGCTTCCTTGCTGAAGTTTCTGCTTCCTGTTTAGTAACAACGGAGGCTTCTGACAATCTTCTGAATTATTCATAAATTGCATTTGATCCCACTGTTACTCTATGCCAGAGAACCAAAAACATTGAGAGCAACTCTCTCAAGTGGTGCTAGAACCAATGTTGCTGCAGTTCTTTATGTTGTTCATTTGTGAACGTCTTTTCTCACAATTTACACCAATCCTTTACTTGCTTCTGGCATCCAACCCAGTCAATATACCCTCACCAACATCGTCTTGAAACCTATGTTTCCATCTGCCGGATGATGGAGTGCTTCTAGTTGTAGTTACCGTAATCGTAATTTATTTCCACTTGTATCTTCCCATTTTTAACATAAGTCTTCTCAAAGGAATTATGAGTCCAATTGTGCCAAATGTATCTATGTTTTGGGGTTGTATTGAGCCACTGTTTGCCATAGGGGTAATTCTGTACTATTTTTGATCCACCGAACAATCAGCTTGAGACCCATATCTTTTGCTTGAAAATCTTTCAGTTGAGTTTTTTACCACATTACTTATTCATCGTCATCTACAGTTTCCCAATAGTGGATTTTGCTTTGTTGCATTTTACTTGCGTCGTATTTATTGTATTGCTCTTCATTCTTTTCACAATATTTACATTATTTGGTAATACAAAATCTTTCGAATAATATATCAATATTTCCATGGTTTGGTTTCGTCTAGTGAGATGCATAATATTAAAATTGTCTACCTGACGTTCCTGGAACTCTCTTGCTATCTGGCCACGTGGATTGCAGAAACTCATCAGCCGCTTTAGTGCTTCATGATCTGTCTAAAGTCTAAACTGTTGGCCATAGTAGTAGTGATGGAAATTACTCAAGCAACACTTTGTAGATATTCCTCAGTAGTACAGAACCTCCTTTCTGTGGCATTCATTGTCCAGCTATAGTAGATGGTCACAAGTTCTTTACCATATCTTACTTGTAACAACACTGTTCCCATTACAAAAGTATCAGCATATGTATCTATTACGAGTAGATCTTCAAGAGGTGGGTATATTAACATAGCATTAATGGTTAATCCTTTCTTTAACTTGTTTAATGCTCTATCAAAATCACCTGTCCAATAAAACCTGATTGTTTGTTTTTTCTAGTACCTTGTATAGAGAGCGAGCCATGTCAAAGAATAATTTTACAAATTAGCAACATTAAACCCATAGTTCTTCATCTCATCCTTCGTTTGCTCCTAAGCATTCCAGATTTGTATGATAATGAGGCAGTTAATGTTTGATATTTGGAAAGTTTCTTGACGTTTATGTTGTTAAGGCTGGTCCATGTAAAACAGTAACAAGATATGTAGCTAGTTATTGGCTATTCCGTCTATTTACTTTGGAAGATATTTCGATCTAGCCTGATATCTACATATGGTTCCTTTTCATCATAGTCTGTGGAATTCTCAATTGGACGGTGTAATTAAACTGGCTTGCTAAATTCTGTAACTTGATGAGGTAGGGATATAGCTGGAGTCCTGCAGTTATGAGTAGCACAAAAGTAGTGTTAACGTATGTAGACCATGTGAGTTCTGCTATTTCATATTTCAAGCGTAATGGTGTGTGAGGTTCGAATTCTTAGATGGATGCAGAAGGACTGTGCTAGTTTGTTCCTTTCATTTGCCAATTCCGTTTCTAGATATTTTATCACGACATTGACGCCCTTCATGTCTACTCTGAACTTGTTGTTATTGTTACGTCTCTGCTCGTTTGATAATTTCTGGTAGATATTCTTCCCGAGAAACTTCAGCGACACAAGTCCTTTCTTAAATAAAACTAGTTTATTCTTTCTCAATACAACTTTGCAATACACTTAATTTCCACAATCACTTAAACACGCGCTATAATTCTCCATGAACGATTCACGCACTTTACTTACTACCGCGCTTGACTAAATCTCTCTGTCCGCTATACCATGCCGATTAATTGTCTGGCGCACTTATATACAATAATAGAGGGTGCCCAGCAAATACTGGATTATTCGTGATGTTCCCCGATCTTTCTAGAACGCATTACGTGTTACCAGCGTCACGTGACTTCCGCTGTCGTAACATTATAATTCTTTTGTACTTCAAAGTGGTTAGTGGTTACTAGAAACCTTCTACACCTTTCTTATGGCTTTTGGATTCTTGGAAGAAAATATAATGTATAATGCAAAGTTCAGTCAACTTATTTATAACGCAATTGTTTTATTACTTCGACTCTAAGTTTTACAAGTTTCACACAATTAACGATAGGCCTACCTTAAAAAGTATCGTATAAACAAAACTTCCACTTACATATACTGATTTTCTCGTACGTGCTGTACAGTTTCATCAATGTGCAATATTAAACTCATTAAAAGACAAAATTAACATCACATTAACTAACTTCATAACCAAATCAATCAACAACTATGGTCTAACTTGTATTCTTATGTCGTTTAAATTGTTTCCCAAACTCTCAAGAAACTTTCAGACGTCAGTGACGCGCTCACCTCATCAAGTTAAAATTCTCTCAAGAAAAACAACCCCGAAAAGTTAAAATCATAACCTAGAACAGTAGTATTAAACACCGTCACCAGGTTGACTTAGGGTAAAAAGAAGGCCTGAGTAAAAGTACTGAAACATCGTCATCATGGTGGCTGAAGGTAACAAGAAGGCCTGAGTAAATGTTCTAAAACACCGTCATCATGGTGGTTGAAGATAACAAGAAGGCCTGAGTAAAAACACTAAACCACCATCACTATGGTGGCTGAAGAGAAGTAGAAGGCCTGAGTAAAAGCTCTAAAACATCGTCACCAGGGTAGCTAAAGCGAAGAAGGCCTGAGTAAAAGTACTAATACAGTCTTCAGTGTAATTGTAAGAAACAAAAAGAAAGTCTGAGTAAAACATTAGAGCACGTGATATGGGTTTTTTCTATGTTGTTCAACACAAAAGTACACTATACGCTTTCTTTACTCTGCCCATTGATTGTACCGAAACCTGGTTTTTTGTGTTATAAGCCTCAGACTTGCCACCAGGAAGCCATGAAATGAGAGGAAGACAGGTGTCCTAGTAACGTATCATAAGCAGTGTATCTTAAAGTAAAGAGTAAAATAAGGCGAGTAAAAGCACTGAAATACCATCACCA